GCTTTTTAATAGTAATAGGAATCTATAATAACAAATTCAACATACTAGCATCGTTTAAGTATATAGCCTATACATCCTTAAAAATCTCATCAAACGATGACTCACGTTTGAAACCGGGCTGGCGCTACGCAGGGCAAGGTTTTCATGCTCGAGATTCGCCTGCCTCAGCTTCATCTCGGACAGAGAGCTCAACAATTCCAGTTTCTGCGTCTCCAATCCGCTCCTAGCCAATACTTCCTTCGAGTCAAATAGAGAGTCACGATAATTAATCCCGAACAATTAACAGGAAGATCAGAGAGGGAAATGAAGTTGCGAAACGTACCTTCTGCAATGCTTCTTCCATTCTCCTCAGGGAGTCCTTCTTTTCTCTTAACTGGACTTCTAATTCATGGATCTTGCTCGTCTGGGCGTCGACCTGTTCAGACAACACGGAGACTTCCATTCTCAGCGCACTGCGTTCACCCTCCAGTTTGATTAAACGTTCCTACAAAAACCGATGTCCACAACTTAATAAAATCCAATTGAATTTCTCCTATAAATTCCACGGCTCACTGAACCTTCCCTTATCTTCATCCCCCAGTTAGAATTAATTATAACTGATTTTATAATCCTATTAATGTGTGACATTGTTTCAACGAACGTCTGACCGAATCGAATGATACTATAAGAGACTGTGGAACCAGACCTGGCCGTCACTCCATCCTAATGGGAGTTTCTGTTGCACCAAGCAACAACAAGAACCATGATAATGAAAAGAATTCATCTGAGATTTGCATCTGTCCTCCCTTTCGAGCCTGCCCCTGTTTCTCCTACGTTTCGCCAGATCGCAGCCGAACCGACTGTGACAAATCCAAGCTCGATCAATCAATCATAAAGATTCTCGCATAAATTGTACGGTCGTATTGATTAAAAGTCAGATGAATCATCAACGAGAAACTGTTAACTGATAACAACTGAAATTGCCGCGAAGCAATTTACTAAATCAATGTTAGAATTGATAATCGACAAAATGAATATCGACTGTTTGATTTAAAGAAGGAAGAGAAGAACCTGGTATCATAGATCTTCGAAGAAACAGCAAAGTTCCCGGGTGTACAAAGATTGGATACACTCCCTCCGAGAGCGACAGCTCTCGCGTATCCAAGTGGACAGCTCTATAAATCGAGAAGCTCTGTCATCCTTTTATTAGATTTAATTCTTGGGAATTATTCAGATTTCTTTCTTCACCTGGCAGACACAGTTATTCGACTGATACAATTTATCTTTATAAAGATTCTCCTGCACTAATTCTCCGCACAGTTTCTTTGTATCATCAAACATCTGGGGTTGAATTAACTGTTCCTGTTCTGAGGATGTTTCCGAAGAATCGCAGCTCTCCGAAGGAGTCCACCCTTCCACCCATTGATTTCCTCCGTCCGACATATCTCCTTCAACGTTTCAAACAAACGGAAATTCAACTGATTCTTTGTAGAGTACAATTGATTAATAAACGAAATTCTTCAAGTGTTTTATAGATATATATATATGTATTGTTTTTATCTTCGATTGTTTCTACCAGCCACTTAGTAAACGTTCGACTGTATCAGAGCGAGAAGTTTCCATAGGTTTGCTATAATTACATTGCCAATGAAGATTCTGGCCATGTGATCCATGATCTAAATTTAAATCAGAAAGCTGCTAGATGTTGAACGATCTATATATACAGGGTGTCCCAGAAAATTGTTAAAATCGAGAAAGGATGATTCTGGAGGTGTTTCTGAACAATTTCTTTTGGCAAAATGCAAAGTGAGTCATATTTTTTTTAGCTAATAATGAAAAACACTGACCAATAAGAGAATGAGAAGAGTCCGCGCTCAGCCTCGGCCGAGCGTCACGATCCAAGCCAACCTACCCGTGGCTGAGCGCGGGCTCTACTCGTTCTCTTATTGACTAATGATTTTTCGTTAATAGTTAAAAAACCATGACTCACTTTGCATTTTGCCAAAAGAAATTGTTCAGAAACACCTCCAGAATCATCCCTTTTCGGTTTTAACACTGGATGAACGTGTGAAACGTTGAATCTTTACAAATTTCTACTTGTTCGACCGATGAATTCAAGATTCGAATAAAACTGCATCGAATTTAATAAGATTTGGTAATATTTTTCATTTGAATAGAAGCTTTAGAACCGGACGAGAAGACAATTATTTAGACATTATATTTATCACTTAGGAGTTGATCTAGAATTGTCAAATAAATTATTACCGAATTAAACTAGAGTTTAAGCTTTAATTTGGTTTGAAGATGAATCCTCTGGCACCATTATTAACAAAGTTATCACTCTTTGGTTCTACTATTAACAAAGCTATCAACAATCATGAATTTTTCAAATTTACTACAGATCGGTTACAAACTAGTATGAATCCTCTTACTTAATTTGTTTATAACTCACCGGCTGCATCCATTGCAAGATGATTTCAGTGGTGGCTGAATCCGGAGGACTGGGAGGATTCTGGGAACTCTTCAGGGCAGCTACAAGGTTTCTAACTGCCTCCCTGACCGTATCTTTCGAATCTGCATTTCCTTCGTTCGCCTCCGTGCAAACACCTGCTTGTAACATATTGCAGTGAACCTTCAGTCAGAATTACAAACATTCCTTATAATATGTAACACTAAATATGTCATTCCTCATAATACGAATGCTAAATGTATCAGCATGAAAATAATGGAAGTGCGGACTGTCAAACTATATTCTATGGATGTAAAATAACATAACTATTGAACTTTTCTTACCAGAGATAATGTCATCCATCTGTAACAGTGCGGCTTCCAACATCTTGCTGGCCTCACTGCTTTGGAACGTCGCGTGGACAGGCCTTACGGTCTCCCCTGCACTACGTTCCTCGCTCTTACCCATAGCGCATTCCTACATCAATTGGAAATCCAGTACGTACTCTTACGTTTTAAACATTTTCAATCCACTATTTAATGCCACAAATCGAAATTAACGAACGAACGTTGGGCACTTTCAGACAATCATATATAAATAATTGTTTAAACATATTGATTAAAACGTAAGCAATTGCTTAACCTAAAAGACTGCCTATATGCTTTGCTTTGCCTAAACGTGGAGAAATGAGAATAATTAAGGAAAGATGCTCACCACTCTCTATCATTGTTCCCACTACGCGGTCTTCTTTCTATTTAATTTATTTAAACTATTTCACGAGCTGCAACCGTGTTGATTAAGCAACAGGTGTGACCCGAACAACGCCCAACGATCAGCCATTGGATTCCCACTGAACTGCACTGAACTCATGA